CACACAGAACACTCGGTTGTTGATTAGTAGCAAAAGAAGAGTGCAGAGATATCTTAAAACCAAGTGAAGAGTAGGCACATATTTCATTACAAGCTATCCTGAGAATAACAAATGAGAAACAAAACAGCTATGAACTTCTAAAATATGGCTTGGTAGGGGTCAATTTATGGATGATTCATCTTATAGTGAGTAAGAATCCAGAAAGATGTAATGAAGGAAAATATAAAATTATAAGAACAACTTGGCTCATATTTTTAATCTAGGAAAATATGATCAACCTGACCTAAATTAATTCTGGCCCTAACATTTTACTACTATTTAAGCTCTGTGCTGAAATTAACTGGTAAATGGCATAGTTATTAACTGGTTTTGGAAAGTTACAGTGTGATCATGACTCAGGGACAAAGTGACCCAGTAAATGGATGTCACAACAGCCCCAGGTCTGAGAGTCAATACATACTGAAACAGGACAGAAAAATCTCCAAGGGGATCTTTCTTCAAAGCTTGTAAGTATGGCCTTTCTCTTTCTAAGACAGCCTCATATTGGGGAAAAATCTAAGCATGTGGAGAATATGCTGTTTCCCATCACTCTTTTTGGGTATGTTTATATTATAGGGACCAAACCAGTGACATTTAACATAGGTCATCGAAGGATACCAAAAAAAGAAATAATTAAAAAAAAAAAAGAAGAAAGAAACAGAAAAAAAAATACCCTTTTGATGATTAAGTAACAGCAAGCAATACCCCGGGCATCTTCCAACCACTTTGTGTGCTTGATTTCCCCTTGGATGTAGGAAATCACTGACTGTTCCCTGTTAGATACAGGGAGGGGGGTAAAGTCTAAATTCTAAACCAGTTACAGCATTAAAAGAAAAAAATTACGTCCTCATTAATGAGCAACCTGACAGCTTCCTTTTGGTCAGAAAAATTTTAAATAGAAGGAACTTTGAACAAGGCTTCCTCATTTTACTCACCAGTTCAATTTAGGTCAACAAATGTATACTACAGGCAGGTACGGTAAAGTTTTGGGATATTTAGAGGTAAATAAGTTCCATCCCTTGATCTGATGGTTGCAGAGGTGATATTTGTGACAATGTGGGAAAAGCTGTGCTGAGAGTATCTATCAGTCAATTTTTAGCTTCTAGCAACAGCAAATGACTGACTGATGTAAACCGAAAAGCAACACATCAAACTACAGTCTCCGAATTGCTGTGAGGTCTGGAGAGTCAGGCCCTTGGCTTATGGAGACAGAGTAGGGGCCAAAACAATGTCACCGAAAAGGTTTACTGTTTCCACCAAGCTCTAGGACCCACAGTGTGCATGACAAATGCTGTGAGTCCTGGCCCCTCCACTCCATGGCTCTACAGTCTGTGGCTGCCAGTCACATCCAGAGCAGGGCCTTGTTTGCACAGCTGCCTCTGCTCAGCACCAGGGTGGATTTTCTTCTGTGCCTGCATCTTTGTGTTGCCAGTTCCCAATTCCAGACCCAGATAGCTGTGTTTGATTAGCCATTCTAAGTGATTTGCCTTTCCCTTATCTGCAAGGGCAGCTGGGACAGCAAATCATCGGGGTTTCAGTTTCTATGTTGGTTGTTACCATGGCAGTATGTGGATGGGATATTAAATTGAGTATGTCATGGTCTCTTTTAGCTTCCATATTCTTTTAGGTGATTCTTTTTCTGTTTTAGTCTTTGAGTTTCTTCTCCTCTCATGAGTTTCTCCCCAAAACGGTATCTGAATGTATGGCACAGGGCAGGACATAACAATATGGCATGGGGGAAAGAGGGAGACCATGTGGTACCTTTTACATTGTAGCTGGCCACCGGAGCTGAGGAGTCTGGTTTAATTCTAGCATATGAACAACAGGCCTTTCTGGAACTCTTTATAAGCATGGCATCTACTGATGGATTATTCTTAACAATTTTTCTCAAGTCATGAAGGTGTGTAGCATAACTTCTTTGTCTTAACTCCTGGCCTGTGTGGTTCATTGGCTCCCTCAGGACCTTCCCATTCCCACACTGAAAGATTTGGGAATAACTAGTCCCTGATTAGTCCTCCCAGCTGGGCCAAGCATGTGATAATGTAGGCTGTGTGGCCTCTGACCCATTGTACTCTTTACTGCTTGCCTGTGTGTTTCTACTGAAGCCCTCTCAGAGTTCCACTCAAGCTCTGGCTTTCTTCTTCCCACACATGTCGTGGAAGTGGCCAGCTCTCCATACTCTTTTTGTGTCAGGAAAAAAAAAGACATGTCCATATTCTATTCTTTTTTCAGGTATAATACATTTAATGACTGCAAGTGATCATCATTTCAGTGGAGAAATAAAGTCATCTTGGGTTAACATACACAAAATATCAACCCAGCCAGATGTCTGTTGAAATTAGTACATAGAAATTGGTATGGAAGGGGCTAAGGGGTCAGAAGGATCTTTTTAAGGAAATGATCTGAGCTTTGTGTTGAGGATAAACTGTAGATCCAACTTTTCATAGCTTAAATTACATCCACACAGGCATGCTAAGGAGCTAGCAGTCCTTAAAATATGATCAGAGGAGAGATAGGAAGACTTCCCAGACGATCGTCACCTTCAGCAGCCTGCTTTTGTTTCTGATGTTGCACAGAAATCTCACTGAGTGAGTCAGCAGGATCTAGAAGGTTCACTTCCTCCATTGTGGCTGACAGCAACAAGACACAGGAGAGCATGTGAGACCAGAGGAACCTATAAATGCAGAGGCGTAAGAAACTAGCAACTGCCAAAAGAATTCCTCTCTGTGGATAGGGGAGATCAGTGATTAAGGGATATTTAAATAGTCCAAAGGGCAGAGTTTTGTCTTAAAAGCCAAGAGATTAGATTATAGCAAAAGGGAGTCACAAATGCTACCGTTGGTCAAAAATCAGAGATGAAGGCAGGGCTAGGTCTTGAAGAGGCAGTCATAGGACTGAGGACTCTTGGGAAGGGAGTCCATACGAAGCTGCTAGAAAACCATGTGCGCAGCATACGAAGAGCTTCTGAGACAGTGCTGACACATTAGACCTCACCTTCCAGCTATTGTCAGAGGTTGAATTCTAGATGAATATCTTGCCTTTCTGCAAATTAAGGTTACAGACTAGACCACAGGAATATTCTGTTAACAGTATTCTTTCCTGGCATGGGAGAGATAGAGATGGTGTTAGACATCATCACCCAGCTTAGAGCTAATGACCTCAGTAATTGCATTCATTTCTTAGTAAAAATATCTTCATGTACATTACTGAGTTAGTGAGGTGGGAATAAAATAAGGTCCTGCCTTTAAACAGGAAGGTAAGGCAGCGTGTGTGTACATATTCACTCAAAATAATGGGATAAGATGTAAAATGGGTTACAAGAGACCTAGATACCATAATACGGAATTCAGTTGGAGAGAATTCAGGTGAAGACAATCTGAGGAGAGTCTCTTGGAAAAGAGCATGAGTCTACTCATTGATCTTTGAAAGAATGGAGAGATCTGAACATTTAAAGATGAATAAAGAGGGTTTCAAGGAGAAGAAACACCATGGAGAACAAAAATGGTAGGGTTTGGGGAAATGGTGAACCATTTGTTTTGGAAGGAATATAAATGACATAAAGGAAAGTTAGGTTCTAGTTGGGAGATGAGGGATCTGCGACACAGGGAAGTAGAACAGCTCAGTTTGGACCGTGGGATGACTCAAGGGGAAACTTCAATAGACCTCAGGGTGGAATAGGCGACCTGGGCAGCATGCAGTCCCAGGATGGATTAGAGATGCAGAGGCATATAGAGTGGAGGAAGAGAAAGTACTGAAAAGGGAAAGGAAACTTCTTTTTCACCATTCTGCTATCTATTTACTTTAGATGAATTCTCCTATTATTACTTTTTAAGATAGAGAGTGCTTGCACCTGCAACAGAGAGAGAGAGAGAGAAAGAGAGAGAGAGAGAGAGAGAGAGAGAAAAGTCCAAAGCCTCAGTTGGCCACATGGTGTTCAACTTTACAGGGCACGTGCACCATTGCTGTACCACAGTGACCACATCGCTTATATTTTTGAACCTACAGAAAGCTATGGCTTGTTTTCTATCCATTCCCTGGGCTAACAGGAATTAAAAAACTACTAAGAGATACTGTATAAACAAATGGGAGAAGCATATTTCCTAGCCTTTTTTTCAATTCTCTATTGTTGACATTGCAAAAAAAAAAAAAGTGAAACAATGATTACATCTTTCATTTTAATACATTTTTAATATTTCTTTTTTCTTTCTCTCCCCAGTTTTCTTTGTCTTGAAATTTGAACTATTAGAAATAATGCTGAGCTGGGACCAGCAGATGATGTAATGGTTATACCACTGATCTCCCACGTAGTTGACTGAAGTTTGAGTCCCAAACCTGGTAAGTTAAAATTCATGCAATGCATGTGCGTGTGTGTCCAAAATCCCAAGAGGAGAATGGAGGAGAAAGTATTGTGGTGTGGTCATCCCCTCATGGGGGTGATTTCTCACTTTCTTCCTTCCTATTTTTGTCTCTCCAGAAAGTGCACATGCCCTACAACAAAAATCTCTCTCTCTTAAAAAAAAAAAATAGAAAGGAAAAGGAAAGCTTTATAAGCTTTATTCTTGCTCACATTTTAAAGCAAATTTTAACCAATCCAGAGCATTTTGGAAAATAAAGACTCAGAGTGTTCTTTATATCTGTGACATCTCTGAGCAACAATCACAGAGTTGGTATAGGAGGAATGAGAGACTGTCAGGCCTCCCTGTCTCTATTCACCTGCTCCACAAGGCAATGAGGCACCTTCACTGCTGAATCACCGAAAGAGAATCTGGCGGGACAGGTTCCATGGCTGTGGCCTGAGGATTTGTTTGCATGAAGACTTTTTATTTCTTGCCAACACTGAGGGAGCCTTGGCAAACATTAAACCACTTTTATTACCTTTTATAGAAATAGGATCGTATTTATAGATTGTTCTTAGATATACCCACTTGCCTTTTTTCCTTATTGTTTTTCTACCAGTTTCCCCTTTCTCCCTAAGTGAAACTAGCTAACCACTCTCTTCTCCTGGTTTCGGGTGAGGAGTCTGAATTGTGGGTGTTGTAGTTCTCTTGCCTCCCAGAGGTTCTGGTTAGGCAGCATTGGAGTCAGACTGGTAGGACTTCGAGTCCCAGGTGACTCAGTAAAGAGGAGGGCAGCTGCCCGCCTGCACAGAGAACAAGGCATGTATGAAGAGCTACCTGATATTGGTAGAGTGACTCCCATTTATTAAAACAATGTGCCTGGACTGAAGAAGCTGGGACTTACTTCTACAAATGTAAGTGTTACTTTTGAAAAAAAAAAAAAATCCTTTTCACTCTTGATGTGTGCTACACATTAGGAAGTTGTATAGTTTCCAGAAAAAATTCAGGAACCTACTTCTTCCTTCCTAAGCACTGGTTGGAAAAATGGAAAGTAACTGGTATTTTGTGCAGTTTTGGGCCATGTGTTAAAATAAACATTAACATTCAGAATAGAATAATACCTTGAGACCTAATTTAAAATAAAATATAAAATCAAAGTATAAAATATTGTGTGTGTGTGTGTGTGTGTGTGTGTGTGTGTGTATATATATATATATATAAAACATAACACAAACCACATTAAAAGTCAACAGTAAAAAAAGAATTCTGACTTGCTTTAAATATGTAGATGATTGAAGTCCTCTGAAAACTTTAAATACTTCAAAAGCCGTCCAGGTATGTTGAAAAAAATGTGGACTTCAAAGTCTGCCAGATTCAGTGGTCCTACTACTTGTTAGATTTGTGACTTTTAACAAGATGTTTCACCTCAGTTTCTTCATTTGTAAAATGGATATAGCCTACTTCATTGGCTAATAGAATTAAATTAACATAGTGCATTGTACTAAATACATGGCTAGAAAGCAACTAATGGAGAGTAACTTGACTTCATCCTAATTAAGTTTCAATTAAACTTCAGAACAAATCAAAGAGAAAAAAAGATGAATACGGTATAATTCAACTTACACGAGGTATCTTGAGTCTTCCAATTCACAGAAACTCCAAGTAGAGAGAGACTGAAGGAGGGGTTCAAGGCAGTTGTTTAATGGGTATAGAATTTCAGTTTTGAAGATAAAAAACATTATGGAGATTGTTTGCCCAGCAACGTAAGTAGCATACTTTATAACACTGTTGAACTTACTAATAGTTAAAGATATAAATTTTATGTTATGTGTTTTATTACCTAATCTAAAAAAAGATCAGAGAGCATGTAGTGAAAATTCTGGTATTTTTCATTTATTAGTCTCCTTGATTTTTTAAAAAAATTGTGTAAGTCCATATTCAGTGGGTCTAATTTTGGGATTGATACTGAATCACCTATGTTAGTGTCTGGTTTTTATAAACAATAGTTTTGTAAAAGATGATGATGCATTTCAGGTGTCTTGACTTCAGTGGTGGTCCTTTTATGCCTTCCTTAGGTTAATTATATGATTATCTTTAATTGTAGTGATTTTCAATATGGTTTCATGGATAGTGTACAGAATCTAGGAATCATGAACTCTTAATTATTAGTTATAATTTACTGGAAAGTTTTAGTTTTTAAAATATAAAGCAGGGACCGGCAGGTCGTGTGGTGGTTAGGGGTGCTGGATTCCCACATGGCTGACTGCGGTTAGAGTCCCGGACCTGGCGGCTTGCTTTCTCACTTTCTCTCACTCTCTCTCAGTCTGTCCCTCTCTGGTCAAACTGTAATAAACAAATGAATAAATAAGTAATTAAAGTTAAATAAAATATAATTTAAAAAACATAAAGAAAATGTATTATTTATTCTAGTTTTCTCACCTTCTTTGTAACTAATTTATAAGTGGAATATTTTTATCTACTTGTGTCTTAGAAATAATAAAGACAATTAAAACAAAATTTGTTGCATACTATCTTATGCTAAAATAGATTAGCTAAGTGAAGGACAAAAGACATTCTGGGATTATGTCAATTTTAAACTTGAAGCATGTCTTCACTCAATTTTTAGGAAATCCTTTTTTTAAAAGATCACACCTATGTTGGGACCAGCAGTTGGCGTAATGGCTATGTCGCTGAACTCCCATGTAGTCAACCGTGGTTCAAGTTCTGGACCCAGTGGCTTAAACTCACGCCGGGTACGTGTGCATGCGTGCCCAAGATCCTGACAGAGAATGGAGGAGAAGGGCTTGTGGTGTGGCCATCCCCCTTGGGGGATGATTTCTTGCTTTCTGTCTCTCTGTCTCTGTCTTTTGGTGAGCGCACATGCCCTATAGCAAAAACCTCTCAAACAAACAAACAAACAAAAAAACCCGATTACAGCTATGTCTAACTATATATTAAGACTAAGCGTCCCCTATGGTATTTGGTGATAACTGAAGAGGATAACCAGTGTTGGTGATGTGTGCCAAGTTTTGTATTTGATATGGCATATAAATGTCATCTCTTTCAAGAGCTATGTCACTAAGTCCAGGATAGCAGTAGAATGAAAATACGGGAGAAAGCTGTAGAAGCACTGAATACATACAGTATACTTCATAAAGGGTAACATGGTTTTTTGTTTTTGAGTGTCATCTATGGTCTGGTTTCTCTAAAAAGTGTCAGTTATTCATTTGACAAGGGTTGCTAGCAGTCCTGTGATGTTCTTCCATTGACTGCACCTAGAGGTTAGAATACAGAGATCAGGCACGCTTGAGGGGATCTTTATCTGCTATCAGAAATGTGCACTTGTAAACAGTGAAGCAAAAGAAGGGCTAATCTGTCAGTCACTTGGCTGTCCTGGAGTCACTGTTTCTTAATCTTGCTCCGTGGAGGGTACGATGCTCACTCTCAGGATTAAAAAGAAGCTTCTAGAAATCTTTCTTTGAACTGTAGCCATTGAAAACCAGGAAAAAATGAACTTGAACTTTATGAGTCATTCAAAAGCTGACTGGAATGACTTTCGAAAATACGAGAAACACACACCCAGGATGCCAGAAGAAGGGGCAATCACAGTGCACTGAATTTCAAGAGGACACAATGGAAAGTGGTGGCACTTGAGCCATGCCTGGAAGGATGTGCCAAAGTGAGATTAATAGAAAAAGGTGAAGAGAATGCCTCATGTCCAGTAGCATTTTCCAAACTTTTGGGCAACATGTGGGCTGGACAGTCAACAACACTGGCATCATATCATAGAATGAGAAAGTTAGCTATTTTTCAAATTTCAGTTCTTCAAGGATAAATTTTGTTGTCATTGATACAGACTGCATATTCTTCTAACACTTGTTTAAGCTTTCTTTGCAACAACAAGAGTAAACAACAGATTTTAGCAGCACAAAGTGTTTAATTACTCTCTTAAAAGAACATTTATTTTTATGGTTATTTATTGCAATAAGTCACATTTTTCCCATTGATCATATTGATAGGAATTAAGCTTTAAAATATTAATCTGAGCTAAAATGAGTGTTGGTTTACAATAGATATTAACATAAAAAAGGCTCAGATGGTAATCGGTAATGGAACAATTGCAATAAGGTACCAAAATGCATGTAGTTCAGGAAACCTGAAATGTATCGAACATAAAAATTAGAAAGTGAGGGACCAGCAGTTAGGGTAATGGCTATGTCACTGAACTCCCATGTAGTCGACCATGGTTCGAGTCTCGGACCTGGTGGCTTAAACTCACGCTGACGCGTGTGCGTGCGTGCCCAAGATCCCAAAAGGAAAATGGAGGAGAAGGGATTGTGGCATGGCCATCCCCCCTGGGGGTGACTTCTCACTTTCTGTCTCTCTCTCTCTCTCTGTCTTTCTGGAGCGCGCACACACCCAATAGCAAAAACCTCTCCAATATATATATATATATATATATATATATTAGGAGGTGAAATTGAATAGATTGTTCTTAT